AATAAAAAATTCTTATACTATTTTGAGATACTCGCTGTAATTTTCGAATTAGAAAAGGAAACGTCTAAGCCAATATACGATTAAGCCGTGCCGCGCGAATTCGTAGGCCCACTCGAGCGGCGGCGCGCAGAGAGAAGGAAGTAGCGCTTCATTGCCTAGCATAGCCTGGCATGGCAGTCCTATGTGTTTCGCCGTATCGCACCTACACTATTCAAAAATGTTATTTTAGCTTTTTCTTATATTATAAGTTTTTCTTATATTATAAATCATGTTATTTAGCACGATTAAATACGTTTTAAAACAATTGTAGATATGTTAAGCAATGGAATTAATTAGAGCATTACGCTAAGCGCTGATCGTCGCGATACCTTTCCGCTTCCTTTTATTATTATACGACGCCATTCTATTTTCTGAAAATTTTTTTCTATCTCTTACAGTTCCAGCGACATTCGCTTCGAAAGAGAAACATTTTTCCAATGATATTCGTTACAAAAGAAAAAAATCATTTTTTTCCAAGGTTTCACCTTTAAAAGTGTTTCACCCTTTAAAAGTGCGTATGGGCACGTATAAAAAAATACGTGTCGCTTATTTTTGTCTGGAGAATAACATATTGCTCAATCAATAAAATCGGAGAGGGACAGTTGAGTCCCTTTCCTTGTAAATTACAAGTTTTTTTAATGTAATGAACATGGGCATTAAATTTGATAGATAATTTAATGAAAATAAACTAAAATAAACTCATGAAAATAAACTCAATTTTTAATTAATGTTTTTCAATACATTTAAGTTTTCTGTTACTACAAACTTAAACATCTCATTAACGTATACATAAATAATCTTTTCAGTGACAGAAAATTTAAATTTTATTCATCAGTGAACATTAAAGCTTAATAAAATTTAAGAACGTTCTTAATATAATTAAACGGCAAGAAACATGTGAAAAAAACTTCAGTTAAATGCGTCATTATACATGGAAAAATAATACATTTGAATTTACAATGTAGCGGCTATCTACGCGAGCTTATGTTATAATTTCAAGTGTACATGCATTGACATGTCAAAAAATAAAATTCCGATTAAATAGCATAAAACGACGCGATAGCTCCGACGAAGTGTGTCTCGAAGCGTAAATAGAAATATCATATAATAAAGAAAGAGGAAAGATATCACGTCGATCAGCATACGCTTTGCGTAATGCATGCTCCAATCAATTCCATCGCTTAACATATTTATAATTGTATTAAAACATTTAATCATGCTAAATAACATGATTTATAATATAAAAAAACTTCAGCTAAAATAACATTTTTGGATAGGCGCGATGTGGAAACATCGCCATGCCAAAATATGTTGTAACTTTTTAGTTGCTGACATGGTAAATAATAATTAATACATTTATATATACAGAGTATATAGGTTAATGCATGTACACTTGAAATTATAATATAAGCTCGCGTAGATAACTGCTACATTGTAAATTCAAATGTATTATTTTTCCATGTATAATGATGCATTTAACTGAGGTTTTTTTTCACATGTTTCTTGCCGTTTAATTGTATACGTTAATGAGACGTTTAAGTTTGTAGTAACTGAAAACTTAAATGTATTGAAAAACACTAATTAAAAATTGAGTGTTTTAGTTTATTTTTATTAAACTATCCATCAAATTTAATGTCCATGTTCATTACATTAAAAAAATCTGTAACTTACAAGAAAAGGGACTCAACTGTCCCTCTCCGATTTTAATGAGCAGTATGTTATTTTCCAGACAAAAATAAGCAACACGTATTTTTTTATACGTGCCCATACGCACTTTTAAAAGGTGAAACACTCCTTGGAAAAAAATGATTTTTCTCTTTTGTAGCGAATATCATTGAAAAAATGTTTCTCTTTCGAAGCGAATGTCGCTGGAACTGTAAGAGATAGAAAAAAATTTTCAGAAAATAGAATGGCGTCGCATAATAAAGGAAGTGGAAAGGTATCGCGACGATCAGCGCTTTGCGTAATGCTCTAATTAATTCCATCGCTTATCATATCTATAATTGTATTAAAACGTATTTAATCGTGCTAAATAACATAATTTATAATATAAAAAAAACTTCAGCTAAAATAACATTTTTGGATAGTGTAGGCGCGAAATCCGTCATGCTGTGCTAGGCAATGAAGCGCTATTTCCCTCTCTCTGCGCGCCGTCGCCGCCGCCGCCGCTCAAGTGGGCCGTTCTACGAATTCATGCGGCGCGACTTAATTGCATATTGGCTTAGACATTTCCTTTTCTAATTCGAAAATTAACGCTAGGATTGTCGTTTATGAAGTTCGCTAACGCTATCGCGCTATTGGCTCCACGAACAGTGTTAGTAGCGTTTGCATCCAAAGCGCGAATAGTGTCTCCCCTATATAATGCACCCCATATATGTTTAGAAAAAAAGAAAAGAATGATATACATTTTTAATTATAAACATATAAAAATAAATATATCTATCCTACAATCAACAATATTAAAAAAAAAATATTTTTTTAAACATTTATTTAATATTTTTATACTAAATAAATATTTTAAAAACTATTTTTAAACATTTTTTAAATACTGATTAGGCAAATATGAATTATTGTTTATATTAAAAAATTTAGGATAGAATTTTGTTTATAAATTTAATAAAAAAAAAGTATTTAAAAAATTAGAAATACAATCATATACTTATATGAAATATGTATCAAAAATACACATGTATCTAAAAAAATACGGCGCATAAAATTGCAAATAGAATTTTATTTTAATTTAGTGAGAATTTTTAAACATTCAAAGTGAACTTAATTATTTATTATTTTTTTAAATCTTTCTTTTCTCTCTCTCTCTAGTATTGCGGAAATGATTTCTTATCAAACATAAAACCGCTGATGAACAATTATGATAGGAAGTGTAAAGTGCAAGTAGTATTGTGCATGTTTAAATTATTTTGCGACGTTATTAACTTTCTCGTCAAGTAGATGAGATTTCACTTTCGGAGAAAGTCATCCGACTGCATTTTTATCAGGAGTCGATTACACATTGAATGCATTCCTCGCCGTGTGGTCAAAAATGCTGATTTTCAACCGCGAAAATATAAAGCTCTAAACACAATGAGTAGCAACAACGACAGAGATAGAAATCCATAAGCAATACGCATATATAGTGATAGAAACAGATAAATCCAATCCAACAGGAATGCATGGTGGAAGAAACTCGGATTTCTTTTATGGATTTCATTCACCATTTAGAAATGCATATGTCAATCAATGTCAATGTATATAGAAACATGGAATAGATAATAGTGATAAAATTTTCGACGAATTAGAATTCTGTGTCTATTCCTATTGCTGGTAAAAAATTTTTCATGCATGAATGAACGTATAAATATGTATAAATATTCATAAACACGTATAATTATAAATGAAATATTTTCATACATCGTTCTTTCTTTTGTAAAATTATTTTTCAGTGTATAAAAATAACAATAGTAATGTGAAAACATAAACAATTAATCTCGTATTATTCGTATTGCATTTAGGGCTTAAGGAGATCCTAAAGCCTCCTGTTTTACCGATGAAATTATGTAATAATAAATACTTTTTTCTTTCATCGATTTGAAAATTCTTTTCCAGGATTAAAGTATATGCATTAATACGTGTCTGAGAAATGGAGGGAAGAGGGAAAAGGAGTCTGAGATCGTTCTCTGCCTAGATCAAAAATTTCAAAATTGATATATTTTTTACCATTTCTTAGTGAAACAGTGGCGTCTCAGCTGTTAAGTCGTGACAATTTGCTTGAAATGTTTTGCAATCTGTACGTATGAAATAGTTCCCAGACACATAGTTTACACGAACAAATAACGTCGAATTCTTAGAATTAGATTTAGACGCTTTATTGCGAATTTGTTATACGAAAATTGACACGAACGTGTAACTACATGTACTATTTGCGTGAGATATTGATGTCGTATATAAAAACATGTCGATGCGTGGCGCAACCTTTGGTGACTTCGTCGAAGTTCGAGTTTCACTTTAGGATTCCCTTAAAGTTCTGTGCACAATGGGCAACAGTGGGTGCCATTTGATGACACAAGTCGACATAAATCGACATAAGTGTCATTCTGTCCTTGTTGACATTCAGAAACTGACAAAGATGGAACGACATTTGTGTTGACTTGTATCTTCAAATGGAAAACACCCGACAAGAACAGCTAGGAATAATATAGAAAAAAATAAATAATATAGAAAAAAAATAGGAATAATATAGAAATAAGATAAAAATAAGATAGTATAGAAATAAGATATGTAAAGGGCTCCGCACAATAAAAGAAACAGGGAACAGAGAACAGAGAATAAGAATTTCAACCTATCAGAAACTGTGTATTCCACAATACATGATTTCTGATTTCGGGGCGGAGCCCCCAATTGTCGCCTTCTGTTGCACAATATCGTGAAAGAAATAAAAGGCCAATCAAAAAGATGTAAGTAATGGTCGATTCAGATCGACTCAAAGGGACTCCGCACAATAAAAGGAAAGTAAGGCCTATAATTGGTCTTATTTCAAGATCGTTTTAAATAATGTTTTAAGATACTAATACAGCCTTCTGATTGGTTCGTGACCTCTTAAGACTGTATTTAAGACAGTCTTGAATAAGATCTGAATATGAATACCGGCCTAAGAATTTCAACCTATCAGAAACTGTGTATTCTAATAGGTTGAAATTCTTATCTTCTGTTCTCTATTCCCTGTTCCTTTTATTGTGCGGAGCTCCAAAGAGTTAAGTCAAATGCGCGCGGAAACTGCGCGTTGTAGATCACGTGATTTCTTCCCACTCTCGACAATCACGTGGTTTATTGATTGCCATCTGTGATTTATGAGTGTGCTGTGGATCGCTGATGCATTCGAATTGAACGTTCCTGTTTATGTACGAATGACCGTGACATGGGTAAGTCTCTCACTGCTCATCGCAAAATCTATCCTGTAGGTTGACGCGATTATCGAATAAAACGATCGCGCGTCTTCGATTCATTGCACGACCTTGGAGGTTATGTTCTGTCTACACGCACAGCTGTTCGTGCGTATGTTCATTGACGTGTGCATATACGAATACTTACATGCCTAGGTCTGCACGCAATTTCGTATCCTTGAATTTTCATAAAAATCTTAACGAACATATATTTCGAGAGAAAGAAGAATTGCGGAAATGTACGGCCGTTGCTTTTCACGCGCTCGAGAAGCAACCTTGAAAGAATGAGAGTTCGTAAGTGCGTATCTTTATTCGTTTACTCACGTAGGATGTTTTTTTCGTTACTCGCTTCCTTTCGCTTACTCTCGAGTCTTTCGGTCGTATCAATTTTCTTAATTTCTTATCAAATCAGTAAAAAATATATTGTCACACTTCTTTGATTCTTATCTTTTTGGTCTCTTAATTGATCCAATGGATTTTCCATTTAGTGATGCAAGTCAACAAACGTCATTCTTTTCTAATATTTATGCCTGGTTTATGCTTCAGTCTTAATCTTAGTCTTAGAATTAGCCCTAGCTTAATCTTAAGGACTAAAGTTAAAAGATAAGAACTTTCTTGAGACTGAGATTAAGACTATGGTTAAGACTTTAGATGAGGGAAACATAAACAATCTTATGGTATTCTTTGTTGCCAACTTTCTAAGATTAAGACTGAAACATAAACCAGGCATTAATGAATAACAAACACAAAACGATATTTGTCTCAATTTGTGTCATTAAATGGAAAGCATAGCCAACTCCTTATTTATTGTATAATGAGTAAGAGTCAGTAGACTTTGTAATAGTAGCAATGTATATTGAAGTTACACGGTTCTTTGAATGCAAAATCAATATACTTATGTTTGTAACGTATGGCTGTATGGGAGTGTTCGCAGTATGCTGAGCTTGAATTCATAGAATAGATTTGCTAGACCCAAAAAGTTGTGCGAATCAATATATTATTTTATATAATATATAATAATTCAATGTATTATTAAAAATTTTAATGAATAAGTTATGAAATCCTTTGTTGTTTCAATAAGAAACAACATTTTATTATTTATGCTACTCTTAGAAAATAATGATTTGTTCTTTGTAACTGACTTTGATTTTTTTCTCTTCTCTTTAATGTGTCTAATTATATTAATTTTAAGTATAGAATAACATACAGCTACAAAGAACAGATTTAATAATATATTTGTATTACTTGATGTGTAATTATTCTCCAATGTCACTTCAGAGTATGTTTTATTCATAAATTGAAATTCCTTTTAGGTCTGTAAATCAGAAGGAGCGGTGTTGTACTTTAAACCGCTTTGGGAAGCGGGCAATGTGGCTTGGCAATAATAATCGCTGGAACTTTTCCATGGATCAGATATTTCACGATCTTATTCACGAATGTAAATATGTGGCCCCAGGAGCACAACTCACTTACGCTTTGAGGAATCGCTTAGAGAAATATAAAAGAGAAGTGCGAAAAGATATTGTGTCTCGTGAGAAAGAGGGTTGTACCGCTTTGTTTATCGCCTGCAAGAGAGGTCACGTAGAGATTGTCGAATATCTCATTAAAAAATGTGACGCGGACATCGAACAAAGAGGAAGGTACGAAGTGCCGGACGACAGGTCCGTCCATTGTGTTACTCCGCTATGGTGTGCTGCAGTATCAGGAAATTTGGAAGTTATAAAATGCCTTATATCCCATGGAGCTGACGTCAATGCGGTCTCTGATTCTGGATCGACTCCTGTTAGATCTGCGTGCTTTATGACACATATGGGTAACAAAATATATATATATA